TGCAGTAAACTTACCAGCATGGGTATCTTTTTGATTTAATTCTTTTTTTCCCTTTGGATATATACCTAGTAGTAGAAGTGCTGGGTTGAATGGTAGTTGTATTTTTAGTTCTTTGAGAAATCTCCATACTGTTTCCATAAAGGTTGTACTAACTTATATTTCTAGCAACAATGTATAAGCATTTCCTTTTCTCCACATCCTCACCATCTGTTGTTTTTTGAAGCTTTAACAGTAGCCGTTCTGGTTGGTGTAAGATGATCTCATCGTGGTTTTATTTGCATTCCTCTGATAAGTTGCGACGTTGAGCATTTTTGCATGTTTGTGTGCTTGCACATCTTTTCCAAAATCTAATTTAATGTCCTTTGTCCACTTTTTAATGGAGCTGTTTTTTTTCTTGTTCAGTTGAATTCCTTGTAGATTCTGGATGTTAGCACTTTGTTAGGAGTGGACTTTACAAATATTTTCTTTCATCCTGTAGGTTGTAAGTGCCATCTATAATTTCTTTTTTCAGTTTTGTTTGTTTTTGAAATGGAGTCTCACTCTGTTGCCCAGCATAGAGTGCAGTGGTGCAAGCTGTTGATTGTTTCTTTTGCTGTGCAGAAGCTTTTTAGTTTAATTAAGTCCCATTTGCCTATTTTGTTGTTGTTGTGTTTGCTTTTGATGACTTGGTCATAAATTCTTTATCTAAGCCAGCATACTGAAGGGTTTTCCTTAGGTTTCTTCTAGTACTTTTATAGTTTCAGGTTTTACGTTTAAGTAATTCATCCACCCTAAGTTCTTTTTTTAATATGGTGAGAGGGCCCAGTTTTATTCTTCTGCACAGGGTATACAATTTTCCCAACTCCATTAATTGAATATGTTCTTCTTGCCCTGGTATATGTTTTTAATGACTTTGTCAAAAATCAGTTGGTTGTTCTTATGTGGCTTTATTTCTGAGTTCACTATTCTGATCTACATGCATATTTTTATACCAGTACCATGTTGTTTTGGTTTCTGTAGCCTTGTAGTGTAATTTGAAGTCAGGTAATATGATGCCTCCAGCTTTGTTATTTTTTTTCACAGGATTGCTTCAACTACTAGGGCTCTCTTTTGGATCTAATTAATTTTAGGATTTTTTGCATGTTTGTAAAAAGTGATATTGGTGTTTCGATAGGAATTGCATTAAATCTGCAGGTTGCTTCAGGCATCATTAGCATTTTAATGATGTTAATCTTCGCAATCCGTGAGCATGGGATGTCTTTCCTTTTTTTCTGTCCTCTTCAATTTCTTTCATTGATGTTTTGTAGTTTTCCCCGTAGAGATCTTTCACCTCCTTTGTTATATTTATTTCTAGGTATTTTATTTTATTTTTTTATTTTTCTAGCTATTGTAAGTTGGATTGCCTTCTGGATTTCTTTTCCAACTATTTTATTATTAGTATTTAGAAAGCATATTGATTTCTATATGTTGATTTTACATCCTGTAACTTTATTGAATTTATCAGTTCTAAGAGGTTTTCCATGAACTCTTGATGGTTTTTCTAAATACAAGATCATGTCATCTGGAGTAAAAGATGACAATCAAACCACTTAACTTTTTTCCATTTTGGATGCCTTTTATTTCTTTCTCATGTCCGATTGCTCTGGCTAGGACTTCCAGTATTATGTTGAAAAAGAGTGAGCATCCCTGTCTTCTTCTAGGTCTTAGAGGAAAGACTTTTGGCTTTTCTCCATTTGGTATAATGTTAGCTGTGGGTTTGTCATATATGGCCTTTATTATTTTGAAGTAGGTTCCTTCCATGCCTAGTTTGTTGGGAACTTTTTTTTTAATCATGAAGGGATGTTGAATTTTATTGATTTTTCTGTACTTATTGAGATGATTTTGTATCTTTTTTGTATTTATTGAGATGATTAAATGATTTTTGTCCTTCATTCTATTTATGTGATGTTTATTGATTTGCATATGGTGAACCATCTTTGTATCCTGGTATAAATGCCACCTGATTATGGATTATTATCTTTTTGATGTGTTACTGGATTGACTTTGCCAGTATTTTGTTGAGAGTGGTTTCTTCTATGTCTATCAGGGATATTGGCCTGTAATTTTAGGGCTTTTTTCTGTATTCTTATCTGGTTTTGGTATCAGGGTAATGCTGGCTTTGTAGAAGGAGTTAGGGAGGAATTATCTACACTTCCATTTCTGGAACAGTTTTAGAAATTTTGTGTGTTTTAAAAGAGTTTCAGGAGTTTTTTTTTTTTAAATTATCTAACTTTAATCGATAGACTAATCTTACAGGATAAACAATAAGACAGCTAGTCAAAGTTACACTTAAAAAAAAAATCCAGCAGCGCAAATCTCATAGACTAAATACGTTCATCTCCTCCCAAACAGGCATTTGATTTAAAAACAGAAACCAGAACAGAGCATACACCACAAGGAAACATAGTACTCACATATATTGTCAAATAATTCTGCAGAACTCTTTAAGGAAAAAAAAGGTTCTTAGAAATTGAGAAAGCAGTAGAACCACCCAGCCTGGCAGGTCAATCTACCAGATGTTCTGCATCTGAAAGGGCTCCCGACCACCTGTAACTTCAGAAAGGCCGCCAGGCACTATTACGAAGGAAACAGGTGCCGATCCTAACTGGAGATGACTTTATCACAAAGCCTTAAGACAAAGGGACCATCCTTTTCCAAGACAACAGGTGTGAACAGAGGCAAGAAGTGAGAGGAAAGGGCTCCCTCAGCAGACGGGTGGAAAGCAAGCCTGCCCTTGCACGGCCCTTGGCACACTCAGTCTACCCCCTTTCCCTTCTCTGCCCCTGGCAAAGAAAAGCTGGGGAAGTGCAAGAGCCCAGAACAGCTCCTCCAGGCACATGGTTAAAGTAAGAGTAAGAGGAAAACGAGCCCCTTCTGGGTGAAATATGGCAACTTTTCTGAGACATGGCAATGAGGCAGAGTTAATCTCTTTGGCCCTCATCAGGTAAAGCAGCAACTAAGGAGCCTACTCAGGGCCTCACGCGGGCCCCTTCTATGTCCACAAGAAAGTGCATCCTTAGCTCAGTTCAACTTCAATTAAAAAGAGCTAACACTACTTGCAAAAGGCCCATCATAGATTCAAACACTTAATACCAAAGAGTTCCAGCAACTCGCGAGTCTGTCTGTGTTCTGTGATCTGAAGCAGAGCTGATGAAGACCTGGCTCACAGGGTCACGTTCTTCTGCCAAGGCGCCTCAGGGAAAGAAAGAAAGGCATGATGACGTCTGTGAGCCAGAACCCGAGGGAGGATCAGGGGACAGATTCTAGAAGAGAAAGAAGCCCCTGAGGAGGCTCCGAGAGATGTCCAATGAATGTGTAAGAGACAGCCACCACCCCTGTCTCTAGCTTTGACTTAGCTCTGTTACAGTCACTCTCCGGAAACCAGCTCTTTCTTTTTCCACCTGCATGCCCCCTGCCACAGTGAGGGAAAGATCCAGTCCTCTCTGACAGTGAGGAAATTGTATAGAAATTATCCTGAGGAAAACAAACACTGTGATGCTACCTAAGAGAATGAGTATTTCAATTTGCTTACACAGATTTAGTCAGTACATCTGGACTGTAAGAAATATATGAAGAGACTGCTCACAGAACTGAGTAAACAGTGAAAACTACTGTGGCCCAGATACGGATCACAAACACTTCTCCCAGTGGCTTCTGGTGGTAGGTCTGCTCTCCGAGCAGCTCACAGCTTCTGCTTTTTCTTTCTTGTTATTTTAAATCTGAAGGTTCTGGTAACCTGTGGTGTATCTTTTTTTTATTTTCCTGTGACTGTTTTTTTTTTCCTCCCCTTTGACGCTATTCATGTCTCTACCCACTATGCACAGATTAAACTTCACCTACAAACTCCTTAATATGATCTGTGGAGAATGTACGGAGTTTAAACACATCAATGAATACTTTAACTTCCACCAGGAAAAAAAGAAGAATACTCTGATCCTGTCCGGGATCCTGTCCCTATAATCCCAGCACTTTGGGAGGCCGAGGCGGGTGGATCACGAGGTCAAGAGATCAAGACCATCCTGGTCAGCAAGGTGAAATCCCGTCTCTACTAAAAATACAAAAATTAGCTGGGCATAGCGGTGCGCGCCTGTAATCCCAGCTACTCGGGAGGCTGAGGCAGGAGAATTGCTTGAACCCAGAAGGCGGAGGTTGCAGTGGGCCGAGATCATGCCATTGCACTCCAGTCTGGGTAACAACAGCAAAACTCCATTTCAAAAAATAAAGGTCTCAAACTTCCTCCAAGGAGGTTTGGCTCTACCCTCTCCTCCCCAGCCCCTCGCCCGGCATACCACACAGATCACTCTGCACTCACTTGCCTGCTTCATGGTCATCTCCCCACTAGACTGTAAGCTCCTTGAGGGCAAGGACTGTCCTGGAATTTTTGTATTAACAGTGCCTGGCTTGATGCCTGGCACCTAGAAAGCACTCAATAAATGTTTGTTTAATGAAAAAAGAAATGATTTAGTATTTGGTTTCATTTGAGTGGGTTGGCTGGCCCCCTTGCTGGAGTTGGAAGCTGTATCATGTCGGGGGTTCAGACATCAATGAATACTTTAACTTCCACCGGAAGAAAAAAAAAGAATACTCTGATCCTGTCCGGGTGCAGTTGGTTAGCTAGAGCTGCTTTCAGCTTTACCTGGGGACAAAAGGAGCATTATAGCATGGTCATTCATCCCACTGGGCGGAAAGTGTATCTTCAGTTTCTTTTGGGGATTGGCATCCTCTTTACTCAGATATTTCCCAAAGGAACATTAAATTCAAATATGGGGTCAGGTGTGGTGGCTTATGCCTGTAATCCTAGCACTTTGGGAGGCCAAGGCAGGAGGATCACTGGAGGCCCAGGAGTTTGAGATCAGCCTGGGCAATGTATCGAGACCCCATCTCTTAAAAAAAATAGAAAATTAAATGTGGAGCTAATCAGCAGCTTGTGCCTGGGATCTCCAAGGGAGAAGGTGCCAGGTTCAGCATAAGCAGCAGCAGGGATGTATAGGAGGAACCATGGCTGGCCTCTAAGGAATGGTGCCGAGGCACTGGAGATCACTGAGGGGCTGCCTGTCCACTGCGAGGAGTGTGGTACCGGGTGGGGCAAAGCTGGGAGGAGATGCAGGCTCTGTTTGGGGGATATGGATGGCCCAGAGTCTCTGCTTGTGGGTGCTTGATCCACCTCTGGGACCCTGCAGTCCTCTGCCAGCCTGGCTGTCTGTTGGGGATTCCACCTTCTGCTGAGTCTCTCCTTGGAGCCTGAGCCCCATCTTCAATGAGGGATCACAAAGCAGCCAGGCAGGTGGGAGACTAAATTTGCTTCGTCCAAGAGTAAAGTTGGAAAACTGAAGAAATAATGTGATGTGGTGCCCACAAAAAAAAAAAAAAAAAAGGCCTCTGGTCAGAGGCATAATCCCTGCCCCCGCCGTGACCAACAGGCCCTGTCGCCTCTGGCTTGGGGCCATTTTTTTTTTTTTGTAAATCACAATCTCCCCTTTTTATTCATTACAGACATTAACAAACTAAATGCAGATAAACACATTCTACTTCACGGGACAGTACGGGTCCTTGATAAAAACAAGCACTGGCTCGAAACCATCGCCCATTCTAGTACCACAACAATAATTTATTTTTCTTCAAATGTCAGTTCTTCACAGTTTCAATACTGCAGCAGCAAATTATTCCTTAGATCAAGAAAGCTATGGTCCATATTTTAGAAGATCTTAAGAAAAGTGGAGAGAAGTGAGCAAACTTCCGTTGAGATGTGCAGTTTGGGTGGGACAGTTTTACCTCCAATCCCGAAGACCGGCCGTGGGAATGACTGGGCCCGGCAGCGTCCCCCGTGCCTTGCGGTGTTCTTCATCTAGAGTCACGGCAGCCAGCTGCGCAGCATTTGCATTCTAGTTATTGGTCCCTGTCACCCCATGGGGTGTCACAGAAAAAAAAGTCGATGCTTCACAGAGGACTTGTTTAGAGCAGGTCAGGCAGGACGAGCTTCTTGTGTATGTCTAAACAAGGACTGTTCTGTGTCCTCACAGATGAATGACGTCATGCCAGGAATTCCCTCTGCAGGGAGCTGGCCTGACTGACATGCAGTTCCATAAATGTACATGTTTGTCTCATTACCTTTTTGTATAGTTTATTAATAAGTAATTTTTTAGGTTGCACAATGGACTCCTCATCTTTATATTAAATTCATGAAAAAACTGAAGAAAATAAAGCCTGTGTATTTATTTTCTGTTAGTGTCACCTTTTCAACTTCTGAAATACCGTTCATTGTTAACTTTTTCTCATTTATAAATCACATTGTATTTATTTCGGTAGTATGCATATCATATCTGTGCTCTTGAATTAATTTTTTAATATATTTGTCTCATGAATCTTTAAAAAAAAAAAAAAAAAGTGCCTCCAAGCTGGAGGTGGGGCCTCTGGCCTGGCGGGGCGAGAGTCGGTCCCCTTTCTCTCATTCTGATTTTCTTCTCCCCCAAAGGCAAGCGCGTGGAGCGGCAGGATGAGCACCGATTCATCTTCCGCTGCTTCACCCGGAAATACTCGCTGCCCCCTGGTGTGGACCCCACCCAGGTCTCCTCCTCCCTGTCCCCTGAGGGCACACTGACCTTGGAGGCCCCCATGCCCAAGCCAGCCACGCAGTCCAACGAGATCACCATCCCTGTCACCTTTGAGTCGCGGGCCCAGCTTGGGGGCCCAGAAGCTGCGAAATTCGACAAGTCTGTAGCCAAGTCTTAGCCCGGATACCCACCCGTGCCGCTGCCACTGGCCATGCCCCACCCCCCACCTGTGTGTTCTTTTGATACGTTTATCTGTTTTTCTCAAATAAAGTTTGAAGCAACCCCCCCCCCAAAAAAAACAACTCACAGAACTGAGTAAACAGTGAAAACTACTGTGGCCCAGATACGGATCACAAACACTTCTCCCAGTGGCTTCTGGTGGTAGGTCTGCTCTCCGAGCAGCTCACAGCTTCTGCTTCTTCTTGTTATTTTAAATCTAAAGGTTCTGGTAACCTGTGGTGTATCTTTTTTTTATTTTCCTGTGACTGTTTTTCTTTCCTCCCCTTTGACCCTATTCATGTCTCTACCCACTATGCACAGATTAAACTTCACCTACAAACTCCTTAATATGATCTGTGGAGAATGTACGGAGTTTAAACACATCAATAAATACTTTAACTTCCACCGGAAAAAAAAATGATTAGATCGTGGGGACAGATTTCTCATGAGTGGTTTAGCACCAGCCCCTCGGTATTGTCTTGGTGATAGCGAGTTCTTGTGAGATCTGGTTGTTTAAAAGTGAGTAGTGCTTCGCCTCTCTCTTGGTTCTACTGCTGTCTGGAAAGATGGCTGCTCCTGCTTTGCCTTCTGCCGTGAGTAAAAGCTTAAGGCCTTCTGCTATGCTTCCCATGGAACTGGAAGCCAATGAAACCTCTTTTCTTTATAAATTACCCAATTTCAGGTATTTCTTCATAGCAGCGCAAGAATGGACTAATCCACTCGCACTTTCAATCTCTTAGCTGGTTCCCATTCCCATACTCTGTCTCACTTAATGGAGTCACTGACCACATGCTATACCAACAGTGAAACCGAAAACTAACCTTAGACCTATTCTCTTGCATCCCTCATGCCCAGCAGGACCTGATCAGCATCAATTATTCAGGATTGTTTCCTGGAAATCAGTCCCTCTTGAATTTCTATTGTCAGTGTCATAGTTGAGAGCTCTGTGATCTCATCTACTTCAGCTAAAGTTATATTTTTAAAATGCAGATCTGACCATTAAAACTTTATTAGGTTTTGCTAGCTCTCCAAGGTCTGAGGAATTAAGAGGTTTTATCACCCCATATGCATGTTTATTAAGGTAGGCTTTTTGGCGTCCTCTAAACAAATGGTTGCTGTGAAATGTAAAGAATTTCATATGCTCATTTTTACCTAAATACGTTTAGGATTATCAGTGTTTCTACCTGATAATAGGAGAGATTAATGAAGAGGAAATCAAACACAGAGAGGATGAATAAGTCCCAAAATTAGTTCTTTCATAGATGAAAAAAAAACCTTAAATGTGGAAGACAAAGCTATAAAATTTACAAAAAATATAGAATATGTTTATGACTCTGGCATATAAGTGGAATTCTTAAGGTACATAATGTACACTCTAGAGAAAGAGAATGATAAATTTTACTATATTAAATTCAGCATTTGTGTTTAACAAAAGGCCCATAAAGTGAACATTTATAAAACAATGTATAAATCTTATTAATGAGTTCAGAGAAATGGCTCAATAGAAAAACAAGCAAGTCTGCCATGCACATGTATGTTTATTGCAGCCCTATTTACAATAGCAAAGACATGGAACCAACCCAAATGCCCGTCAAGAACAGACTGGATAAGGAAAATGTGGTACATATCATGGAATAATATGCAGTCATAAAAAGGAAAGAGATCATGTCCTTTTCAGGGACCATAGGTAAAGCTGGAAGCCATCATCCTCAGCAAACTAACACAGCAACAGAAAACTAAACACCACATGCTCTCACACATAAGTGGGAGTTGAACAATGAGAACACATGGACACAAGAGGGGAACAATTCACACCAGGGCCTGTCGTGGGTGGGGGATAAGGGGAGGGGACGTAGAGGATGGGTGAATAGGTACAGCAAACCACCATGGCACTCATAAACCTGTGTAACAAACCTGCATGTTCTGTGCATATATCCTGTCGTTGTTGTATATTTTAGAAGAAATAAAGAAAAAATACCATTTTTGTTGATAAATAATGAAAAAAGAAAAATTGGCAAGTCTGGAACAAGCATCGTTTAGATGAACACAAGTGGCTAACAAATCTTATGAAAAGATGCCTAATATAATTTGTGATTTGGAGAGTCAGATCAAAGCCACAGTGATATTTCATTTCAAATCCATCAGATTGGCAAAAATATCCAAATGTGTAATGCAGAGTATTAAAAAGAATGAAGGGAAACAGAAAATCGTGTAACACTTGAGGAGGTGTAACTTGGTATAGAACGATTTGAATACTTTGGCATTCTCTAATACAGTTGAAGATACATGTCCCCTGAGACGCGCTGTTTTCATTTCTAGAAGTCTAACTTGAAGAAACCCTTAGAAATGTGCATCAGGAGACAAGAATCAAAACATTCTAATAGAATTAAAAAAAAAAAAAACAACTCAGGAATATTCACATTACAAATAGAAAGAGAAAGTATATTGTGATATGTTCAAACAATGAAATATTATACAGCAATAAAAATATATAAACCATAGACAGCAACAAGGATGCTTCTTATGAAATAATCTTGGTCAGGATGGGCATGGCGGTTTGCGCCTGTAATCTCAGCATTTTGGGAGGCTGAAGCGGGTGGATCACCTGAGGTCAGGAGTTCAAGACCAGCCTGGACAACGTGGTGAAACCCCGTCTCTACTAAAATTACAAAAATTAGCCAGGTGTGGTGGTGTGCTCCTGTAGTCCCAGCTACTTGGGAGGCTGAGACAGGAAAATCTCTTGAACCCAGTAGGCAGAGGCTGCAGTGAGCCAAGATGGTGCCACTGTACTCCAGCCTGGGTGACAGACACAGTCTCAAAAAGAATTAACAAAAAAGAAATCATCTTGTTCAATTAAAGGTGGTAAAAAAAAATAATACATAGAGTATACATCTATTTACAAAATCTGCTTTTTAAAATGCAAAAACCCCGTTTCTACTAAAAATACAAAAAATTAGCTGGGCATGGTGGCGCGTGCCTGTAATTCCAGCTACTCAGGAGGCTGAGGCAGGAGAATTGCCTGAATCCAGGAGGCGGAGGTTGCGGTGAGCCGAGATCGCGCTATTGCACTCCAGCCTGGGTAACGAGTGAAACTCTGTCTCAAAAATAAATAAATAAAAATAAAATGCAAAAACTATATAACCTATTGTTAAGGATATTTATGCATGTGGTAAAACTACAAAGAAAAGTAGAATAATAATAAACCCCAAATCTCTGGTGGGAATCCCTCTGGAGGGAAAAGGAAAAAGATGACCGTCTCTGCTTTCTTGGACTGAGATGAGTTCTGTGCCCCAGAGATCTGTAGCCAGTGCATCCCATGGCAGCCCTGCAGGTCCCGGGCAGCCAGGAACTGCTCTGTTTTGCTGCAGCACATGCCTGAGTCCATTCTGATAATTAAATAGGCTTAATGTCCATTCCGGCACGTCTCTGTTTACTGTCCAGTTATTCTTTTCCTGTTACTTTTTGTTGTTGTTATTTGTACCAGGAGAATTCAATAGAATTAGAGAATCATTAAAGGAGAGCATCAGGAAGATTTATTTTTAGCCTTCCACTCTCCCCCAAATCATAACTTTTAAAATCATTCACAGTAAAATAATTAAAATGATTGATGAAAAATGTGTAAGTAAATAGAAAGATGAGCCAATGTGATAAGAAAGTAAAAAAGAAAACCTGAAAGTCTAAGAAAAACAGAAATTTAAGGATTTATGTGTTAAATATAGGGAGATTAGAGGGGGCAAAAGAAATAGAAATCAGAACTTTCAAAGGTAAAATGAAAAGCTTGGACCGGGCGCGGTAGCTCAAGCCTGTAATCCCGCCACTTTGGGAGGCCGAGGCGGGTGGATCAGGAGGTCAATAGGTCGAGACCATCCCTGGTCAACAAGGTGAAACCCGTCTCTCCTAAAAATACAGAAATTAGCCGGGCATGGTGGCTCAAGCCTGTAGTCCCAGCTACTCAGGAGGCTGAGGCAGGAGAATTGCCTGAACCCAGGAGGCAGAGGCTGCGGTGAGCCGAGATCACGCCATTGCACTCCAGCCTGGATAACAAAAGTGAAACTCTGTCTAAAAAAAAAAAGGCCAGGCGTGGTGGCTCAAGCCTGTAATCCCAGCTACTCAGGAGGCTGAGGCAGGAGAATTGCCTGAACCCAGGAGGCAGAGGTTGCGGTGAGCCGAGATCGCACCATTGCACTCCAGCCTGGGTAACAAGAGCGAAACTCCGTCTCAAAAAAAAAAAAAAAATCATTAAAAGCTTAACACATATTAACAACTAAAGGAAAAATTAAAACAATCATAATAGATAAAAACACCAGCTCAGAACTTACAGTTATCTAATTATATCAAAGTTAAACCACCAAAGTGTGAATAATACAACTTAAAAGAAGATAAATAGGGCCAGGCGCCTGTAATCCCAGCACTTTGGGAGGCCAAGGCGGGTGGATCACAAGGTCAAGACATCGAGACCATCCTGGTCTACATGGTGATACCCCGTCTCTACTAAAAATACAAAAATTAGCTGGGCAGGGTGGCACGTGCCTGTAATCCCAGCTACCCAGGAGGCTGAGGCAGGAGAATTGGCTGAACCCAGGAGGCGGAGGTTGTGGTGAGCCGAGATCGAACCGTTGCACTCCAGCCTGGGTAACAAGAGTGAAACTCCGAAGGGGAGAAGAAAAGAAAGCACACTGCCATGTGTGTACCTACGCAACTGTCTTGCATGCTCTGCTCATGTACCCCAAAACCTATAATCCAATAAAAAATTTAAAAAAAAAAAAAAAAGAAAAAAAAAAAAGAGTGAAACTCCGTCTCGAAGAAGAAGAAGAAAGAAGAAAGAAGAAGAAGGAGGAGAAGAAGAAGAAGAGGAAGAAGAAGAAGAAGCAGCAGAAGAAGAAGAAGGAGAAAAGAAAAAGAAGAAGAGGAAGAAGAAAAGAGAAAGAAGAAGATTATTCAAGGGAAACTTAGAAGAAGATTACTCAAGGGAAACTTATAAAGCAGGTTAATGACTCAAAACAAAGCTAGAAGCTTACTCGTTATTCAGCAAATATTAATTTGGATATTTCTGTGTGCCTGCTACTGGAAATTAAAGCTCAGACATTAAAGAACATAAAATTATGTCGATGCTAAATTATTAAAGGGTTAGTAATAAAAGACATAAAATATTTAAAGGACAAATAGACACAAATTATAAATGACAGGAAAAAGAGATAAAAAGGATTATGAAATCTCAAAAGCTTAAAAGATTCAAATGAGATCAAACAAATTAAGACACTTTAAAAGACATGTTTTACTTCAGCATCAGGAAGCCAGAATCTTAGCGGTAACTGGCCCAGGCTAAGGGTTACCACTGACTGGTGACGTGGCCCCGAGTGAGCTCGGAATCTCTCAGCTCCTAGTTTTCTGATTCGTAAATGTGGGTAGCAGTGGTTC